AGGCATCAGTTGAAACGAAGGCGGGGACAAAGTCTTAAGCTTGAGTACTTTAGGTGTCTGTTCAGTCATGATGAAGTATGAAGTACGATAATGAACAAGGGGAAAATATATATATCCAGGAAAAAACACGAAAAAAAATCACAATGTTTAAAAAAGTTAAAAAAAATAAGGCAATGATATATAAAAATCCCAAAAAGGAACAGACTCACAGTTGCAATTAGGTGTACCAGATCACGTCGGTTTCACCAATGATGATGTCACAGGTATTCAGTGTTTGACAACGCTTCTACCAGTAACACCTTCTAATATATTTCGTTCCCGCCCAGAGAAATCAAAAGACAGAGTCGAGGAGATCGGAAGAGTATATTTGGCGATGACCAATATATCGGAATTCTCTGATCTAATCTGGCTAGCGATTGCGGTTGATGTTGAGCACGGCGTTACCACACGTGATCTGGTGCGGATGCCTGACCGAGCGCCTTCAGCTAGGTGAGTCCACTAAAACATATGGTCAGCATCCAATGTCGAAAACTTAGTGCTATTTATTTTGGGGATTTATTTACCGCTACACTATCTTTGCCTTTTTCTTTATTTATCTCGAGATAATCTGTTTCGCACCTGTTTCCCTTATTTGGCTGTATGCATTTGTCACCTCATCCTGCTTGAAAAAATACACCAAATTATTCGCTTTTAAGTCCCTCCTTCCCCCTAATTTAAAAATTATCTGTCAGGTTGACGATATTGAATCGTGATCTAACTATTCAGATGTGATTTTTCAACATAGTGAGACAGTTTTTCACACCAAGTTCACCACTGTCACAGGCTCATCGCAGGACAAATATGGATGAACAATCCAGGACTTTTCTGACAACATATTCTTTCTAGACTACTACGGAAATCCAAACCATCCTTCTTTCGTGTTGAGTGTTGTTTGTAGTGCTTTATGTTCAAGAGACATTTCAGTCGATGTAAGCGAGGTTTTCAACGTATTATACTGAACAAGCGTTCCGGAAGCTGGATTGAATTTCGTAACGCGCTAAAAGAATTCGAAAAACTTTGGGAGAATAATTTTATCCCTTCTCAGACTACCCATACTCATTACATCCAAACAGAAAGTAAATTGCTGAAGGATATGAGGTTTAAATACTTGTTTGTGATGTTTCATAGCACATTTGGTCATAAGCGTAAATCAGAGAGTCTGACAGTTAATGAAAAACCGTGAGAAATTTAACTAATATGTAACGTTTAAGGTCTAAGTTTCTAAACTGGCAGTCACGGTGCTGTGTAAGATTAGAAGGTGAAAGATTCAGATTTGTATAATAAGGGCGGAAGGCCTACGGCTTATGTTATTCCTTTTCTATTATGCTTCTCCGAATGCCCAGTCTTCTGTTAAAAAAGTCAATTGAAGGTGCGAACACCATGTCTTCGGGCAGCAGGTTCCAAGTATTAATGACTCGGTGTGAAAACCTGTATGCCTCGTGTATTTTGTTTGTTCTTGGCTTCTCTACTCGCCTGCTATGTCCTCTGAGATGTCCCGATCATCAAAATCATACAAGATGCTTCATAATCATCCTTTTAGTAGTTCATGGATGAGTTGTGATCCATAGACCAGAAGGTTATCGTCAGAAGAAAAAGAAAATTTGAAACCGGTGATATTGCAGTAACAATCAACAGACAAATTAATAGAAAGTATCAAGAATAGAACTAGTAAGCAGGTCACTTCTGCTGTTGTCAAAACTGTTAAAGCCCAACTGTCTACAGGTAGATGTGTAGAAGTATATTTCAGGTTGTTGTACGCGTAAGCAAGTAATCGATATGTTGCGACAAAAGGCGGGAGTGAGAGAGTATTTAGAATACGGATATGTTACCAGGATCTGCTTCAGTACTCATGAGCAGATACAATTATATAACACATATCCAGAAGTTGTTTGTATTGAGTCTATTTACAATACCAATAATAAAAAGTGATTACGCTTCTTGTTACACCGCACTTTGTAGATATTCGTTATTGTAGTTGGCAGCCACCGGATGTACAGACATTACATTATTGGGATATATGGTGAACGATTCGTGGTACATGTTGAGAGAAAAGTCGACAATTTTTATTAGGAATTGTCAATAAGTAGACAAGACTGCAGTTTTTAGAACGCTTATCTTTATGAAATGCGGTTCGCAATCTAACGAAGTGTGAAGACGTCTACGATAAAAAATTCTTTGTGGTTTTGTTTTTGACTTTACTATATGTACAACTTGTAAACTTATTTTCCTGCTTCATATGCCATTCTTCCTTTACCAGTAGTACTTATGAATCAATAAATTTTCGCAAACCTTTTATTTTCGCCTTCGCACGTTCATGGAGGGTATACCAATAATGTTAACGAGTTACTGTCTGTGAGAATTAAGATCAAATACGTGTTATATATTTGAATTTCTATACTTAATACTATTCACATTGAATATATTATTCTATAGCCGGCACGAATTGTTCTTCTGAAGTATCATTATCAATGGTCACGATACGATGAATCAATGTAGACGGTGATGCGACTTCCAAGTGAGACCTTACAGATTAGGCAATCACATGACAAATTTGCCGTTTTCGGATTAGGTCTTTTACTAAAGTAGTATAGAATTATGGTCTACTATGATATTAGTGCTGCTCTAATAATAGACGTTATCCTAAATTTGTAGATTTGTCATGATATAACTGCCTAATCTATAAGATCTTACGTCACACCATCGACTACGCCAACTCACTGTATCGTATCAATTACCAATACATGATGTAGAACAAGGTTAGGCTAGAGAAAAAACAATATATTTAACATGAATAGAAGAAATAAGATAACATTCAGCAGGGACCACGCCTGCATGGCCGAGCCATGCCGTCCAATCAACTATAATTCACTCAACTCATTGTTCGCGCCTTCTCCATCGTTAGGTATTTCTCCGTGTCAAATATCGAATATCTATTTTCCGAGTTGTCTCATGTTCAGCTTTGAGGATTGTGTGGAGAGAGATAAAAAAGGATGAGATGGTATAAATGTCGAATTAGGGCTGATTAAAGAGTTGTGAGGGGTGGTTAGACTTTGACAGTATCTAGAATCACTAGGTGGGTGCCTAAGTGAGCAAACATTATAGCTTCTTTGTGTGCGGTGGGCAATTTTAGTCCTATTATGGGTAATTGAGGAGTTTGCTTGTTTCAGGTAAGGAATAGGGAATTTCCTGATATGGCTTACTGCTATCACGTATGGGTGCAGTTTTTGTCGTGGTAGCCTCACGTTAGCAGTAATGAGCACTGCCAGACCACTATGTTTGTTGTAAGAAGTTCTGCTGCTGTGGACGAGTGCATATTGTGGGTTAGGGGTACTGGAGTACTGGTGGGTTCTTACAGACATCTTAGTATTATTTCGTACATCAGTGTCTGAGCGTCTGTAGCTGTTAGGGCAAGTCCTGGGAGGATCATTTTTAGGCATTTTATCGGGGCCGTTAGGGCAATACTGGGGCACCATTGAGGTATAGGTGGATTGGCATTTCGGGGTAGCTGAGTGTTTGGGCTGAGGATGAGTGGTTGCAGCTGCCTAATGTGCACTCTTGTCCTTAGGACTAGTAGCAACATGCAACTGGCCTCCGTTTTTGGTAGGAGTAGGGCATGGTGTTTTAGTATTTGTGTAATGCCAACGTTTTAACTGCCGCTACTACATAGGCTGGGTTGAATCGTTTGCAATTGACTGAAGATTCGATGTTGGATAGCAGTCCTGTCATGGATGATTCTAATCTTTTTAAATGTTGGAATACGTCCCAGTAATGACTGACTATTAAGGAGGTAGTTGACATTTGTCATACTGTCAAACTGAAATAATATGGGGCAGGAGGCTTTAGTCTGTGCTTCACGTAATCTTCTTGTTACACATCAAGATCGCGACAATCCACATTCATGTAGTAGAGTATTCTTAGCAATCTTTACGCTCGTACTATCAGGTATATTATACACAATGACATTCTGCATACACTGAAGTCTTTTCAACACTTCAAATGATATATGGTCGATTAATTTTTCAGTGTTTCTAAAAATTTCGATTTCGGGACTGGAAAGACGCGATAAGCCCGGTTTGTAACGCTGGGAGCAGGGATTTAGTTAGTAACTACAGAGCCACTAGCCTAAATAGTGCAGTTGTAAAACTGATGGAAAAAATTATCCGAATGTCTCTTACAAACTATATTGAAGGGCATAATCTTTTCTCCAAGGATCAACATGGTTTTCGGAGAGGCCTATCATGCTTGACAAATCTCATTGCAAGAGAAGATTGGGCTGCTGCAAAAGATCCGAATATTCCTGTGGATGTGGTCTTCATAGATCTAAGTAAGGCTTTCGATAAGGTCTCCCACTCTGGTCTTAAATTCAAACTGGAACGTTTTGGAATCGATCATACACTCAGAGATTGGACAAGTAACTTTCCTCATGACAGGAGACAAAGCGTAAGGGTTGATGGGGCTTTCTCCTCGTGAGTACCTGTAAAAAGTGGAGTTCCGCAAGGTACAATATTCGGTCCTCTCCTCTTTTCACTTTGTGTAAATGAATTACCAACTGTACCAAAATCATTCCTTCTACTCTTCGCTGATGACATAAAAAGTTAGAGACCCATAAACAGTATGCCGGACAGAATAGTATTACAGGATGATCTTAGCTCATTGATGGCATGGTTGGACAGGTAGTCACTACAAGTAAATCCTAGTAAAAGTGTGGTGATGCAATTCAATAACTATGATGAATCGTGTCACTACGCAATATTTGGATTCGTGCTACCCAAAGTAAGAAAATATAAGGATTTCCGAGTCATACTAAGCAGTGATCTCAAAACCACCAGCCATTGTAAGGCTGCTGCTGCAAAAGGCTACAGGGTATTCTGGTCTATTCGTAAGTCTTTCCAGTATTTAGATGATAAAATGTTTAGATTATTATACCCGATTTATGTGCGACCACATTTAGAATATGGGATCCAGGCAGCGAGTCCTTGTTCTAAGTATAAAGCAGATATGTTTGAAAGAGTCCAACAACGAGGTACTAAGATGGTCAAATAGACCTTAAGGTCTATCTGGCCTATCTTATGAAGACAGACTGGCACAAGTTAACTTATTTGCGTTATCATACCGTAGAATACAGGATGATATAATATTGGCTTATCATATGCTGAACGATGACCTTGGTATTAACATGAATTATCTTTTACTTCCATCTAGGACTGATCATTTGAGAGGATATTCGAAGAAAGTTTAAAAGCCGAGATCAAATCGTTTACGTCTGGAGTTTCTTTTCTCGCACCGAGTAGTGGATTATTGGAATTCCCTACCGGAACACGTAATATCAACACCTGTCGATATATTCAAAACAATTGTTTTGAATCTTAAGATTGGACCTCCACAATATTACAAACTGCAAGGATTAATATAGGTCGATAGCCCTCCTATCCTTATTACTGAAGGCTGAAATATTGACTATCTTGGTATCGTTAATAAGCTTCGGCGGTATTCAAAAAGTCCATCTGTACGTTATTTCCAACCCCCATCAGTGGACGATACCCTAGGAGCGTTGCCTACGTGCTACACACCTGAAGGCGCTCTGTGCTTGTGGTTGCTCAACAAATTAAGAGGCTCATAGCCTATCAGAGGTATGTTTTCAAATTTTACCAATAACCATATTCACTAAGTCAAGCCTTCCCAACCAAGTTATCCAACTTTGTTACGCAGATAAGTGACAGGAAAACCATCGTTTTTAGACCCATAACTGTTTATGTCAGCTAAAACAATCCTGCTGTAGTTATCTGTAATACGAATAGCGCGATGAATAGACTCCAACGATTTTTGGATGAAAATGTAGAAGCTATAAGAGTAAGACCAGATTCTTGTACTAAATAATCCAGTTATTACCTACAACGTTCTTCGTAATTGGAGTATATCTTCTCGGGAGGCATTTTTATATCGTAAATAAAGCTGGTTCATGCGTATATTCATTCAGTTTACTAAGTTTAACTCCATCCACTCGATTCCATCTGTTGTATACAGTCGCCAGATACATCTAAAAGGTTTAGTTAAATCTATAAGTCCTACAGGTGAATTGGAGATCTTACATGTGCCTAAGGTTAAACTGCCTTTCCGAGTCCCTTATGGTACGTTGTTTTTAAGAAAATTACATTATAGGTAATGCCATGAAGATTTCTATTCCTGTGCAGCATTCCGGTCAAAGTATACAATGGTTGAAGCAAAATATACACCCAGGTGAACGTGTCGTTTTCATCCCTGTAAAACCAATTTTCGAGAATGCAGAACTGCTGGCTATAATATACAAACGAGTAACTTACTATTTTTGTTTATGGTGGCAGTGGTATTTTTTTAAAAAAGATATATCTTACCACCTATTAGTCAATGGAATAACCAACCACAAAAGCTTCAATGATTTGCCAGATAACTTTCGCAATAAGTACTCCTCGGCTATATCGAAAGCAATTCGAATGAAACGGGGTATTTGGCAAGAAGACTATAAAGTGTGGAAATCTTGTAAATTATTTTTCCAAAAGATAAAACAACTCGTGAACTTGTAAAACTGACGATTTAGTCTTGTTAATATACAGTTTCTATTTTACTTTTCTAATTATGGTGTAACATGTTGAACAGTGTGAGTAGTTATTTTCACGATTTAAAACATAAATAAGCAAAATCAAGAGGCCGAAATGTTAAAGTTAGTATTGTAACACATTTTTACGTAAAACGTCACCTTACATTCTAATGTTTATGCTAAAACTAGGAAGTTATAGTGAGTCTCTACTTGGTGTGCGTCTAATAATATGTATACAAAGTATCGAAACATTGTACACCTTGGGTAGGGACTTATTGAAGTCATCTTTACTTTAATTATGTAGTTCAGCATTTTTCCTTAGAATGCATATTTTGCACGAGCAATCAGTTTGTAAAAAGTAGTCCTAAATAATCGGATTTAGGGAGTTATTCTAAGGGTCTTGTATTCATACAGCAGACCCTGAACACTATTTTGAATAAAAACTAATCTCACGAAATAAGAGTTGAATGTCACTTCCAGGCAAGTTCATCGTACCAGTGAGCAAACAGGATATTCATTTTTCGATAAAGTCGATATTTTTATCACCCAGACTGTTGTTGGTAGCCGCATAGGATAATTTGCGAATACCTTCGCTTTATGTGTTTTCACAAACTCGTCCAAGTAGGCAGAACACTTGGTTATTGAATGCTACTCAATTTAGCATTCTGGGGGCTAATGCTTTAATCTCGTGTTTAAATATAATAGCTAGGCATTGAGTTAGTGTATATCAAAAGAATGAGTCACATATTTTATTATTTTGGCAGGATTGACCTCCATGATTAAGAGGTTGGAGATTTGAAGCTTGACTAATCAACGGAACATAGAATCAGAATATTAAGGGCGTTAATGTAAAACCTGATTGCAGAAGACCAAGGATAGTATTCCATAGGCTCGTTTTTAGTTATAAAGTAAATGGTCGTACGAGTAGTCATTCAAGTTGTCGACATGAAAACAATAAACGTAAGAGGGACTCAAAAGATGAAGATCGCTTCTGACGAGCAATACGAGTTTTAAAATTTCTTGGGGTGTGCAAGCAGGTAATATTTTGCAACTGTTCGTAGATGAAACTTTCCACCCTTAAAACTGATGACCAGCAAAATAAGTATTTGAGAGAAATATTTAACTGTATATTTTGTATCACTACTGAAATCAATATTTGGAAAAATAAAATAAAAAACAATATTTTGGTTGGCTACAAGAAAATTATCAAAAATATACTAAAATATCAGGAGAAATATACAGTAGGTTTACAAAAACCACCTTATTTAGAAATCGGGTTTACAAGATGTAAATTTCCGATAGTATGATAGAAACCATCATCATCACGGTGTCTTCCGATTGCACACAGGTAAATTGAATCTAGGATGAATACTCCAAACTCCGTATCTAAAAATTCACCATACAGATTGGGGTCGATTTTGTTCGTACCAACTTTTTTTGATACTGAACGATTCATCTGAAATTGGGAATATATAACTAACTGTACTTTCTCTAAAAACAACCAGTGGTCACGTAATTACAATGATAATATGATAACTAAAAGTATCTAGTATTGCTGACCAATGGGTTGAGTAAAAACAATGGCCATGTCTGGTGTGAGATTTTCGAAGCAAGTCAGTTTCTTCATTGTTGTCAATCATTAATAACATCCGAAACCCGGCGAGACTCATACTTTCAGCTGCTACTAACTATCAACAAGAGTAATAACTAATTAGGAAGCTTCAGAACTTAGATGATCAGGAAGATCACTAATGGGAATGAAAAAATACAACAGAAAAGATCTACAATGTCTTCTGTAACCGTTTAGAGAACTAACACTGTGGCATTTTACTTGCAATTAAGTGTAAACCCACTTATTGTTAGTAACACAATCACTGGGAGGTTTACTGCGCAGGTAATCTCAGTCAGTCAGCTTCAACGTAGGACCAGGCTCATATATGCATCGGTCCAAGTTGTTACACCTCATTAGCACAGCAAGATGAACATCAAATCAATGGAAGTAATATATAAAAGAAAGATTGTGTATGAGGATATAATACAAGAAAAAAGAATTAGTTCGTAGGAAGAAAGATATAAATCGATTTTAATCTCACGGTTTAAGGGAAGACAAAGAGTGTACACACCTACGCTATTGTGATCGATTTTGAGCCATGTCACCCAGTCTCCAACCATTGGTTACGATAGTCTCGCGGACACCAAGTAACCAGACAGTTGCTGCTACCTTGACATGGAGATCGGGCTTGCCTGTTGTGATGAAGCAATCGAGCCATACTGGCTGGAACAATCGTTTCCCCAAGGTCCTACCATGCCAGACAGGTCGGTTGAAGAGCGGTAAGACCAAAAGCAGCAAACTTAAGGTCTGAGGGCGAAGTTGTACAGAGGTGTGACGGCAGTAATGTGTTCCCTTCAGACAACCAGCATAACGACGATTCTGCCTTCCCACAAGGAGGGGTGGGGTTAGAAAAGCTCGACTCTAGAAATACACACCTCGCCTTATCCCGCAGATTTCCGTCTTTACCGATAAGGTCCCAACAAGTGCGGAACTAACACGAAAACTAGTCGCAGTAAGGTCGTGTGTGGCCGACCTCAGGCAGTTTTCCCTTGGGCATTACGATCAAGCTTTCAGGTTACTAAGACTACCTCTAACTCAATTTGCTTTTCAGATACCTCTAGAGGAACTCTCCCATGGTGTGAACAACCAGGAAGCGGCAACCGCACTCATACCTCTAACAGCAGTCTAGATCACTGTATTCATAATCAATCTCCTTCAATTTCTATTGTTTCTCCTACATTGACTTTCAGTTCTAAACTTCCTCTTTTGGCTTCCTCCTCAAATGTCACCATAGCCAACTATTCTAGTGTGCAAAAGACTGTCCCAGGTCTACTGAAACCGCGAGGCTGCAACGTGCGTCAGCAGGCCTCCTTGGCTAAAACACTAGAATCTCGTACCATTGGTGTATACTGTGTCCCCGAAACACTCATATATGATCCTAATGTGGTCATTCACTTGACCTCACCTCGGCAAAACGGTGAACCGACGAGATACACCCTCCGTGTATCTTGTTACCCGATGGCTAGTTCTCGTGGACTAGCATGTGTGGGCATAGAACTACGTACGAAGGAAGAACAAGCACTATTGAAATGGATCCCCGTTAACAGTCGTTTATGTGCTATTTGGCTAAACGGCTCCGTAAGAACTCGGAAGGATAGGGACACACGTCGTTGCCTTTTTGTCGTTTCTGCCTACGCTCCCACCGACTGCAGCCCGGATGAAGTGAAAGATGAATTTTACAGAAAGCTATCTGAACTTCAGAAAGTTAAACGTTCAGATATAGTACTCGTAGCAGGTAACTTTAATGCCCAGATAAGTAGTTTAAACCAAACAGAAAAGCATTTAGGTGGGTATTTTGATATCCCGGTGATCGTCTGCTGCAAGTGTGCTCAGACAATCGTTTATTTTTAGCAAACACTAATTTTATGCATAAGGAGAAGTCATCTAAAATGGCGACCCCCAGCACCAAACCAACGATGAACTCAAATAGATCATATTGCCATCAGTCATCGTTGGGGAGGCTCAATCGAAGACTGTCGCTCGTTCTGGAATACGTGTTTGGACTCTGATCATGACCTAATATGAGCACACATTCGCTTGCGCCTCACTGGACACAGAAAAGCCACACTAAGACCCACTAAAATTGAGTTGAGTGATGAGAAAGCCGAAAGTAGATTCCGGGAACAACTGAGGTCACACTTCGGTAGTTCTGAAAACGAGGCTGACCCAGATGTTGCTTGAAAAGATACGAATAGCTGTGGAAACAGAAGCGACATATGTTGTTGATTTAAACCAAAGGGTTACCAAAAACCAGTGGATTTCCACTAAGTCTACTGCACTGACGGATTCTCGTAAACTCATCCCATCAGGCTCTGAACACGATGAAGAACGAAAACAAATCAGATCTAGGTTAACCAAAAGTCTAAGGAACGACCCGTGAGCAGTAGTGGGAAAAGAAATCAAGAGAGATAGAAGCCGAATAACTCCAGAAGTACCAGAAAACCTGACCCAACATTATTTCGTGTGGGAGGAGAAAGTCAGAAATTTTAAAGTCAGAGTCTAAACTTCAAAACAGAGGAGGTGTTATGGCGGGATGAAAGGTCAAAATTTGACTGATTTATTCATTATGATTTTTATTCAACATTAATTCCGTTTAATTCAAATTGATCATTTAGTATAGTATTTTTTTCGTCTTCCCCTATGACATTTTATTCTGTATAGCATATGATATTCTTGTATGAAATATAGTTCATATATGTTATTTATTCTGATTATTAATCAAAAATGGGTGTGCAAACTAATATATAAATGAGTTTATTTCCGACTAGACTGGTTGGGATCGCTCGTGCTTCTGGATACTCGCGGAATATACTTCCCGTTCCAAACTTCGACTTCTCTCTCTAGTTAGCGGGGCCGGAACGCATTAGAACAGCTAGCTTATTGGTCTTTGTTCCGTTCGCAGACTAGGTGAACTCGTAATCGCTTCAAGCATAGCAATAACACAAGACAGCTTTTCAGATTAATAAAAGAGACTGGAATTAAGAAGTCAACATGGCTCACACTACCAGATTCCCAACCTCATCAACTGATTTACTATCATCCCCTAATATCCTATGTCTAACCTCACTATTATTCACCCGGTGATCCCAGCAGATGCGAGCAATATTTCTAAGACATTTGTGACCAAATACCGGTCGAACGTCATTGGCTTGGCACAATGCCAAAACTGTATAAGTCGTATTTCGATTGGCGGGTAAACCACGTGATAACTACCCGGGCTTAAGGTCACAATAGTAGCAGCAACAGTCGGGAAAGGTAGTCTCAAGATATGCCTTTGTCAAAGTATATGTTAAAATTAGCGATTCATTCACTGACGTCCTGAATTTAACTTTCTGTACCTGGATGTCTTAAATAGTAACTTTGATTTGATGAATAAGATATTAATTAATAGAAATTGACCTGATAAAGTGATACA